TATATATATATATACACACACATACACACACACACACACACACATTTTTGAAAATAAAAAATGCAAATGTGACATGACATATGAACTGAATGACTGTATTACTATTTGAAACAAATATTGATAACTATGTCGAGATCAATTAACTATCCCTCATCTCAATTAGTTGAATCCCTTGATACTTAGGGCTAATGCTGCAAAGATTCCTTGCCTTTGCTTCTATACAAGAAATACAGCATTTATCATTACCCCCATCTTCCCAAACACACACAAAATCTCATTTACATAGAGTACTGCCTTTAGACAAGTAGATAAATGAATTTAAAAAAATAAAATAACCTCTAGATAACAAAGTTAAATTATTTAATTTTATAAATTGCATTGTTAATCAAAAAATTTTGAAAAAAATAGTGACAAACGAAATGCTGAACTTCGACATTAATTACAAAATGTATTTGAAAACAAATAGTTTTAAGTGTCTAGGAAATAAAAAGTACAATGATCATTGAAAATATTGAGATCACGAAGTTTTGCAAAGGAATCCACTAAAAAAGATCAGATAAAACATTCCTGTCAACAGACGAAATGCACAAAAATGAATATCAATGAACAACAGAAGATCCACTAACATTTGACACTTGATCACACTATTTACACTTGGCATTCTCTTAATGGCTATGAGAAAGGATTAATCTTGAATTTTTCCAGGGAAACCCTTTTAAATAATAATAGTATGTGACATTCTTCATTTCAACCTCTAAGGTCCACAAAACAACATTTCAGCAATAACATCCATTTCTGATGAGTGGTTCTCAAATGAGTTGTATGTAAAACTACATTAATTTAAATAAAAATGGAAGGTTCAGATTATCAACCCTCCCTTAATAATTTTGCTTCATTTGAATGAATATTTATTACCATTAAATAACTTAACACAAAAATGACCTTATTCTTCTACATTAAAATTACAGTTTTCAGTTTTTAGAATCAGAATCGCCATTAATCAACATAATAAAAAAAGCACAGACTTCCAATTATTTTTTTTATTAAGTTTCTTTGAATCAAATTAACAAATATGTAATACTCAATATCTTTGTTTACAAACAATGATCCTCAAAAATTTCACTGGATATGTAAATTGTGAGCAAGTAATAGGTATATTTCATTTGTTAGGTGTCAAACTTTCTCAGATCCTGTTAACTTCATTCCCAGAATTTTTAAAGAACAACTATCCTCAAATCCCAGCCACTCACTGACACTTGACAAATCATAACAAGAATTGTTTACACATGATGAACCAATATGCTGTTCACTCTTGATATCAATTTTATTAACCGCTAAAAGATATATTTTGCTTATACAAAACTCAACTTGGTTCAATTCCTGAAATGTACATTGAGCAATTGTGTTAAATACCCTCAGCAACTTGACTTCCATTCTTTCTAGAATAACCTATCAGCCACCATAAACAACAAATAATAGAAACATAGGCTCACCATCTTCTCTTGAAAATCTGTCACGACTTCTCTCATTTCTGTTCGTCCTCCAATGAGGTTGACTAAATGCACCCCCTTGTCCCGACATAGTCTGCCCGTCGCTACGATGAAAGGTAAATAACACTTCAAAAATTATGCAGTACGAAACTACTTCAGGCCCTTTCGCAGGGCGTGTATACGCGTTGCGTTATTAACTACATCATTAGCACTAAAAAGCTTAAAAAGAGCAAACGATGACAGAAAACGAATTAATACTTCACAGTTCACACGTGAAACAATCCAAGACCACTTGATCCGACGCAAAATACGTGTGTTGGCCAACCTGATATGTCAAGAGAACTCCAAAAGTCTCAAAATTTACAGATATACTGATTGTTTGCAAACAATTTGGACGGAGAATTGCTTTCTACCACACTAGCAACACATTATGTTGATTCACTTGACGAATCATCCTCTACACAGTATTTATTGTTTGCTGTTTTGATCTCTTCTCAAATCACAAAGTTATGGCTAACCTGTAAATTTTGAAGAATCAAAAGAAGTCCTGATCCAGAATTATTTGTCATTTAAAAAAAGCATGAATTGAGAACAGTTAACGTATTCATAATGATAGCTAATAATTTATACACAGAAAGTATACATTTACTTTATTTTTTATTAACTTTGTGAAATCGTTTTATATGATCGATATAGTAGTTTCCTGGCTTCTGCACACTCTTCAACTGTTTTTGCTTTCATACTTTTCATCTGGAGGCGCTGGTGACTCTTCCGGTTTGTCGCAAACAAGCGTGTGTGGCAGTAGTTTACGTTAAAAATGGTGAGTGAAATTAAATCCATAATAATCTTCTTTTTAAGTTGGGAAAATGATTTGTCTAGAATAAAAACGATTATTCCCATAGACGTAAAGTATATTTGCCCAGCGTTTTGGGTTCTTACCGTCGCCAACTTTATGAGATTTCCACATTGTGTGTCGCATATTTAGATGTAACCTTTAAAAGACACTACGTTTTCTTTTAATTATATTAGAATATGATTCTGCAAATTATTAAGAATTTTATTATTCATCTTTAGTTAAAAATGTTTATTTACTAATCGTTTTTGAGAAACTTTTAGCTTAGTTGAGTACTTCTACATTGTATGTTATGTCCATCATTAATACAAAAATACGACCTTCTAAAAAAATTGTAATAGAAAATTAAGAAACATGAATGGTAAACAAATGCTTCTTGCATATCTAATTGGAAAAAAAATTAGCTTCGTGTTAAATTGTTTTCCATAATTGATATTTAATTTTCTCATTTTTTGCTTTTAAGGCGAAGAGGACAAAGAAGGTAGGAATCACCGGGAAGTATGGTACCCGATATGGTGCTTCCCTTCGTAAGATGGTGAAGAAAATTGAAATAACCCAGCATTCCAAGTACACCTGCACTTTCTGTGGCAAGGTAATACATGGGTTTATATTACATCAGATTGGCTGTTTTGCTACTGTGTATGTACATGTGACAATGTAAA